TAATCCCTAATCCCTGCACTCGGGAGGCTGAGGCAGGAGGATCGCTGTGAGTTCGAGACCAGCCTGGGCTACACAGTGAGTTCCAGGTCTGTCTCAACTACATAGTGAGACACTGTCTAAAAAAAAAAGAAAGAAAAAAGAAATACATCAAGGAACAACACTATAACCCAACTGAACCCAATAGAACATTCCCCAAAGAAGAATAAACACTTTTCTCAAGTGCAGGTGGGATATTCTCCAGCACAAGCTATATACTTGTTCATAAAATAAATATCAAATTTAAGGAGATTGAAATCATGCAAAGTGTGTTCCCCACCCCGCCCACCTCCTATTTGGTAGACAGGGTCTTGCTATGTAGTGCAGGCTTGTCTTAAACTCACTGTGTAGCTGAGGCTGGCCTCAAACTTGCAACAATCCTTCTGCCTCAGCGTCCCGAGTGCTAGGACTACAGATGTGTGCCATTATGCCCAGCCACCCCGACCTTTTTTTCTGGTACCTGGGCTTGAACTCGGGTCCTTGTGCTTGCGAGGCAGGCAGCAGAACCACCGAGCTGGATCCCGGGTCCCCACACCTTTTTTTGAGATAGGTCTCCATAAGTTGCCCAGACTTGGCTGGAACCTGTGATCTTCCTGCCTTAGTCTTCCAGCTGCAATCAACACATCAGGCTGAGCTGAGTTCTCAGTCTTCAAACTCATATTGGTGTTCACCCTTCCCCCAAATTCACCATGTTGGAAGAAGCTGCTTTGCCTCTCCCACCATCTGAGGTTCAGCTGAGGAAGGCTTCCCTCCCAAGCTCACTTAGGATTTTGACAGAATTCATTTTCTGTGGTTGTAGGACTGAAGGTTCCAGCCATTTGCTTGATGCTGGCTGGCGACCATCCCCCCTCGGGTCCTTTCCACAAAAGTGGTCACTTCTTCCAGGCCATCAAGGAGATCTCGTTATGCCTTTTATCTATGTCTCCACAAAACCTCATTCAGTCATAGGTGGGGAGTTTGGAAGGCAGCTGGATTAGGGTATGTGAATGTGGATTAAGCGTGTGATACTGGTGTTAAGGGTGCTATGCTGGGATTAAGGGTGCACCACCCTATGTGTGGCTGGCACCAGTTAATAGGGTTACAGCTTGGATGGAATATAAAGAGAGAGACGGAAGGCAGGCAGTGGCTGCTTCTGCTGCTGCTGCTTGCTGTCTTTTGCCTGTCCTGCTTTACCATGGACTACTTATCCTCTAATGCCCCTCTGCCATGCTACCCTGCCTTGGAGCGGACTGACTGTGAGCTGAAATAAATCTTTCCTCCTTTAACTTTGGGTGTTGGGTATTTCGTCTCAGCAAAAAAAAAGTAACTAAGACGTATCCCAAAAAACATGGCTGATGCTGATTTTGCACCAAATTAGGTTCTAAACTTGTAAGACTGGCTCACCCTTGGAGCAGAATCCTGAGAGTTCCTCACTGGGACACTGACTGGAGTCACTGAGAGGTGAAGAAAGGCAAACTCTTGCCTCCTCTGAGTGTCTAGCTCCTTTTAAAACTTCAACAAGGGGTCTGGGGATTTAGCTCAGTGGAACTGCACCTGCCTTGTAAGCACAAGGTTGTGAGTTCAAACCTTGGTACCAAACATTTTTTTTTTTCAACTAGGAAGTCTGAATTTCTCATCTTTCCTTAGACTGTTTTTCACTTCAATATTATTGCCATAGATGGAAGTAGTGATGCATGCCTGTAAGCCCAGCTACATGGGAGGCTGAGGCAGGAGCATCCAAAGTACAAGGCCAGCCTGAACAACATAGTCCAGGTCTCAGAAAAGCCCTATGTTGGGCCAGGGATTTAACTCACTGGTGTTGCCACCTGCCTTGCAAGTGAAAGGTCCTGAGTTTGATTCCTGGTACCCACCCCCCAAAAAAGGGGACTTGGAGCTGGGCATGTTGGAACATACCTGCAATTGCGGAACTCGGGAGGCTGAGGCAGGAGGATCGCTGTGAGTTCGAGACCAGCCTGGGCTACACAGTGAGTTCCAGGTCAGTCTCAACTACATAGTGAGACCCTGTCTCAAAGCACCCCCGCAAAAAAGGAGGACTTGAGGGTGTAACTCAGTGGTAGAGCACTGGCCCTACTTGTGCTCACCACCATCCCTCGCCCCAAAATTACTATTCACTTTCCTTGCAGAAATGTCTCTTACTGTGTAGAAAACGTATGCTCTGGCGACGTGTTTTTAGTTCATTTGTTTTAGAAGTTAATGCGACAATGGTATCATTTAATCAGCTGGGTGGCAAGGCCTGGAGATCCTGGGTGGCAAGGGCCCAGCATTTGAGGCTCAGCAGGTGAACCCGAGATGGTGGAGCTAGTTACCAGGGCGCTGGAGGCCTCTGCCTTCCCCATTATTCTATTTCTTTCCTTTTTTTTCCGTACCAGGGATGAACTGAGGTCCTTGCGCTTGCGAGGCAAGTGGCGGAACCACTGAGCCCTGGCCCTCTCCCCATTATTCTAAAGGTGGAGAAACCGAAGCCAAGAGAAGGGAAAAAACAGATTCACTGAGGTGGATTGAATGTTGCTGTCCCATTATTTCGGAACCTAATAGCATTAAGAGGGTTTTATGGAAAGTGACTACGTCACGAGGACTCTCCTTTCAGGACCGAAACTGCTGCTCTCATAAAACAGGTTGAAGCCAGGTGTGGTGGTGAACACCTGTAATCCCAGCGCTGAGGCAGGAAGATTGCAAGTTCGAGTGCAGCCTGGGCAACTTCCGGACTTAGCAAAATAAGAGATTTAAAAAAACAAAAAAGGCTGGGGATGTAGTTCAGTAAACTGGGTTTAATCCCCAATACCTTAAAAAGAAGTTGAAAGGACCTCTTCTCTTCCCCTTCTGACTATGTACGGGCCCAGCAAAGAGGTTTATCTTTGAGGCAGAGGACAGCAAGCCTTCGCCAGACAAGCAATCTTCCAGAACCTCCATCTTGGATTTCCCAGCCTCCAAGACCAAGCAACTTCTACCGTTCATATATCGCTTAGTCTAAGGCATTTTGTTGTAGCTGTCCAAAAGGAACCAGGACAACCAGGGAATGTGATTGAGGGCGCTGCGCTGGCCGGAACTGGATGACCATAGCTGTCAAATTCCAGGGTGTGCAAAGTGAGCGACGCGACGCACAAAACGCTCAAGCCCAGAAGTTTTGCCACTTGGGGGCAGCAAGGTCTCTGGAGTGCTGATTATGAGGATGGGCTCGGGAGCCAGCCTTTCTGGGTCTATCAGCACACAGTTCTTCAGTTTCCTCATCTGGGCAATGGGGGATACAGAAAATTCTGATATAAACCAGAAGGCGCCTCCCCCTCGAAGATACTACGATAAATCAAATAAGGCAGTCCCAAGAAGACTGACACTGGGGTGCCTTTGTACCTCCCTCCGCCCGGCCCAAGCGACAGTCTACTCGCCCATCCCTCTGCTCCGGCTCCGGCCCCGGGCGCAGGATCACGGACGCGCCCTCCCGCCGCCAGCAATTGGAGCAAAGGGTCCAGGGGGCGGAGTCCGGGGCGTGGCCGCGCCGGGCCCGACCGCTCCGCCCAGGTTGGAAACCCTGCGCCAGAGTTTTTCCTGTGTCCCTCAGGGTGCCAGTCTGGTCCCGCCGCCTCGGCCATGGGCCTGGAGCTCTACCTGGACCTCTTCTCCCAGCCCTGCCGCGTCATCTACATCTTCGCCAAGAAGAACGGCATCCCCTTCCAGCTGCGAGCCGTGGATCTGCTCAAGGGTGAGCCGGACCTCGGATTCGGAGAACTGAGAGGCGCGGAGGGGCGGCGGGGCGGCCAACAGTTCCGCGGCTGCTCCTCGCACCCCCCCTTCCAGGGGCCCTTGCGGGTCTGGTTTGGAGACTGGGGAAAAGGAGAGCCACCAGGGAGATCCAAGCCTGGGTATCTCCAAACTCTAGGGGATTCCCCTGAAGCCAGGTGCCTGGCCGAGCAGAAGGAGGAGAGGAGAGAGACCTGATGAACAGATACAGGTGTCATCTGGATCCTAGGACAGGGGCCTCCAGAAAGGAGATGGGGTCTGGAGGAGAGGGGGTAGGGACCGAATGTGGAGGCGGGACAGAATCAGGGCCCTCCTTTGTGATCCTCAGTGCTGGGGACCTGCCTTTCCGGTCTTGCCCTCTGCTGTCTGTATTTATTTATGTGTTTATCAGTACAAGGAATTGAATTCAGGTCCTTCAGCCCCCTCCTCCCTTTTGAGACAGGGTCTTGCTATGTAGTTCAGACTGGCTTTGAACTCACTAAGTAGCCCAGGCTGGCCTTGAACTCGTGGTGACCCTCTTGCCTCAGCCTCCTGAGTGCTGAGATTACAGGCATGCGAGGCCGCACCACCCCCAGCTTCTCGGCCTCTTAAAATTTCTTTATTTTGAGACAGGATCTCACCAACAAATTGCCCCGGCTGGGATCAATTTGTGATTCTCCTGCCTCTCTCTCTCTGGCCCAAAGAATTCACTACTGGGGGAACAAGACAGTTTTGGTTTTTTTTCCTCCTGTACCTGGGATTGAACTCAGGTCCTTGTGCTTGCCAGGCAGGTGGCGGAACCACTGAGCTAAATCCCCAGCCACAGAAACAGCTTTTTTAAAAGGCCCACCAACAGGAAGCACCAAGCAACTATTTGTATCTTATGCAAAGACCGGATTTTCTGACTCTTACAAAGAACATCAGTTCTTTGGCTGTCTCTTTGAGTTCCTTCCATCGAAGGGTCAAAAAACAATTTTAACAAGCAGAGTTCTTAAAAAGGAACAAATGTTAATTAGGAACATCCTGACCACACCTTGTGTCAATGACTTAATTGTAGAGAAAGAAGTTATCTTTCAAATGTCAAAGGCCGGTGGGCCATGACTGGCCCCCACATCTGAGGACCTCAAGGATGCAGCTTGGCCGCCCATTGCTCAGGCCCAGTGGGGACAGGGGAACAGGAGGGGAGAGCAGCAGAATGCGGATGCTGGGTGTCTGTGCTGGGGGACTGCTTGGCTAAACCTTCCATCCAGGCCTTGCACCAACCCTTTTACCCTTTGCGGGATGATCCCTCTGCCTGAAACATCACCCCCCCCCCATCCTCTGCAGACCATCCCACTTGGTGAGCATGGGTGCTACGAGTATGGGGCATCATGGTGTGAGGGATAAGGGGATCTCTGAGTTGGGTGTCAAATAACGGGGTGCGGAGAGATGTGCATTTCTTTCTTTTTTTTTTTTTTTTTGTTTCCTGGGGTGCTTCGGGTCC